TGCTGAACCAACAAAGCCTGTTTTACAAAAACAAAGAATTTCACACCCAGGTAAATTATTTCACAACCATTCATTACTCTTCAGGGTTTTTTATACATAAAATATACAAATTAAAATCCTTAATATTTCTTTATTTTCACTGTAGAGGATAATAATTTATAAACCCATAAACAAAGATAAGGGCAGAGGAAGAAAAAGTGAATTAACTCATTTCCAGACCATAATGTCTAACACACTCCCAGACACTGTAGCTCTGAGCAACAAAGGATGCTCACGTGAATGTGATTTGTGGGCACGATGTTAAGCCAAGGGGGCAACTGCTTTGATACTACATTTTATTAGCAACGAATCCCAAAGGTTAAAAATGAGCCACATTTATCTGTTGAACCATCACGTTAGCTTGATGAATAGGCATCGCACATCGCTGGATATTACGGATTTTGGTCTCCAAACACTGCAAAGACAGAACAGCATTATGCTTTCATGGTGGTGTCATGCGAATGCTGCCAAGGATACTGATGGTAATTACAGTGCTGTACACATCTGTACAAAAAAAGTATTTGGATAAACTGACTGAACTGAAAATAGTTTTCCTCACTCCCAATTTATCTATTAGGCACAAATGGAAAAGATGGACTTCATTCAAACTTGTTTAAACAACAGATTGCTTGAGGCAAATCTATCCTGCTCTACATATGCTTGCCTGTCTTGCAAACTCAGCAGTGTGGGCACCCCCAGTGATGCTGCTGGGTTTTGCGGGTGCACACCCCCAGTGATGCTGCTGGGGTTTGTGGGTGCACACCCCCAGGCGATGCTGCTGGGGTTTGTGGGTACACAGCCCCGGCGATGCTTTCTCTGCAAGCACAAAGTCACCTTGGGGAATCCCACAGCCAGAATCCCGCAGGGGGGTCAGCACACGGTGACCCCCAAAAAGAGCTGCCAACAGAAGAGAGCCGAGCAAAGCCTTCATCTTCACAAAGGACCACTGCGTGGAAGTAGCTCGAGTTCCATTTGTAAAGATTTTACAATACAATACAATACAATACAATAATTATTGTAAAGATTTTACAATACAATACAATAATTTCACTGGTTTTGGCAGCCTCAGGGGGCTGTGTGCCCATGCTGTTGTGTGTATCCCATCCTCCATCTTCAAACAGCACCACACTCACGCAGGAGCTGAGAAAAAAAACCGCAGAGAGCCAGCTTGTCCTCCAAGCTGACCGGGGAGCAAACACAGGGCACAAGAAAATTAAATTAGAGTAGTGAAATTGTTGTAAAATAACTAAGAGCGTACTGGTGACTGAGGTAATGGATTTTAATTTATCTCATGATGTTGAGCCCAATGCTGTCCCTCTGTTAGAATCAACTCAAGAGCTATCCCAGCTCTTAGTCACAACATCTGATTTCTTGTGCAGAAAACACACAGATTCACACCTACATCACAGTCAGCAAAAACTGCGCCGGAGTGTAAGAATTAGACCCAGAATTGAACAGAAGTGTCACTAATGACCATAAAAAGCAATCCAAAAAAATTCTTTAAAATTGTTTTATAAAAATATTTACAGTAACATTTGTTAGCGCTAATGCTACGTTTTCAGTCCTAGAGAAAGGCAATCTTCCAAGGATCTGGCTCAGGTGCTCAGAATTAACCATACAAACATGAAACCACACGCCAGAGACGGACAAATTCAAAATGCATATCAAGGGGGGGGGACAGAGCTGGTTCATCACGTGTTACGGTCGTTCATATTGCATAGCTGGAAAACGAGGTCACTTGACTTGCGTAACACACAACATTTGAGAAGGAAAGACAGAAACATGTTGTTTGCCATGGAGGAGAACAGGCTGCAGCCAGGAACAGCATCGCTCATCCCTGGTACGGGCTGCGAGTCCCAGCCCTGCCCAGCAAGCTGTGGGTCTGGGCCAGAAATGCCATTTTACAATAGCAGAAAAACATCAAAAAACATTTCCCTTATAAGCAAGGAAGGTTTATAAAGAGATGTATAGCAAGGTATATTCACATTTCACAACATCTGACAAATTCCAAACTTGTATCTCTCTGGCACTAACTCCCAGTTTTCATCTCTAGCCCACATCAACTCTCAGTCTCTGGGTAACATTTGCTCCTGCTCCAGTGATGCTATGAGTATGAGAAGGTTAGCTAGGAACTGGTTCCACCTGTTGAGCTGTGGTTGGGCCGTATATCAGCTCTTTAGCTGTACGTTCCCTGCATCTATACCAGCCCTAACAAGGGCCACGGTGCCCAAGTGCCTGTCCACCCCTGTCCCATCACATCAGCACGACAAAAGATGCTAACTCTGACCGGGACGCTTTGCCTCTCCTGTTTTATCCTCTGTTCCCACAGGCTGCCTGAAAGGGAACACCTTTTGGCGTTTGCTTTTGGGGCAGTGAAACCAAGGCATCATCTTGCTGACACGATGTTGAAGCTGCATCTGGGGACCCTGACCTGAAGGGACACATTCCTACCAGCCTCAATAGCTTTTGCAGTAAGCAACACCTTGTAAAAGAGCACCATGTTGTACTACTATTTTGGCATGTTTCACTGCAGATTGTAGAACCCAAAGCAAGAGGTTTAAAGGGTATTATAGAAAAGATAAATTGTTTTTAATTATTATTTTCAAGACCTCTGAGCTGACATACAATGGAAGGGTAGACATCAAGAATAACGCTGCCATTTCTTTAGACGGTTTGGTTTTGTTTTTAAAAACAAGAACATTGGAAGAGGAGTGGGTGCTACCCAATGCTCCCCACAAAGGTCAGCCCCCCTGGGAGGTGATGCAGCAAAGGGAGGGGTGGCTCCCCCCCAGGGAACCAGCACCCATCTCACAAGGGCTGTGTCAACTCCAACACTAAAAATCTACTTATTTACAGAAGTAACCTACTCCTCTGCAAAAGCTGCACAAGGTGATGTAGCCTTACATCCCTCCGAAATAAATTTTTAAGTATTTTTCTTTTCTACAGTAGAAGATCACATGGAGTCTTTTTGATAAGAGACCTACAGAGAAAGGAACCAGCAGAAACACAGTGGTGCGTGCTAGAGCTCGACAGTAAGGCAGGCAGATTCTGACCTGCGGGCCAGCTGCCCACTACAAAAAGCCTCAGCTGATCTACAGAGGGGAAGGAGGAAAAAGAAAAAAAAAAAAAGGAGAGAAAATCTTTTTCTTCCTTAGTTCTCTTTAGCTGGGGAGTCCTTTGGGAGACCACCCTGGTATGCAGAAGCATTCCAGAGCTCACAAGGAGACACAAAAAGTTATTTTGAAGTTAGGCATCTTCTTAAACAGAAAGCTTTAAGAATTTGGGATGTAAGCACAACAGCTACGTTACAGCTGGATCTAGATTTTTCTGTTTTGAATCATCTTATGAATTCTTCGTACTAATAGAGGAACACCTTCAGTGCAGGCAAGATTAAAATAGCAATTACAGTGACAGTGATTAGTTAATCTCCATATTCTGCAAGCATTAAAACACTGCAGGTATTTCACCTTGCTCATTAATCACTGCGTGGGTGACAGAGGATTCTTGCTTTATATAATGTCTCTACATTAGTGGCACCATAAGGTATTTCTTTAAGGTCTAAATGCTGTGTTATGAAATGGCACTGATATGCTGGACAGAGCTAGAACTGGGGCTTTCGGCACAGCTGAAACACGTGGGCTGGGAACACCTTCTATTCAAGCAACGTTTGTTCCACAGGAGCAATAAACCCCATCGGAGCAGCACAGGTTTTGTGGAATTGTGAAGTCTTGTGTGGTTCAGGTGCTGAGACTTCAGCCCCAGAGATGGCACTGCCCAGCAGGTCCCTTCACATATGGCAAACAGCATTCATGGCGAGTAGAAAAATCACATGGTATTTATTTCCACCGTACGACAAGCATTTCAGGGGTACATACAGTAGTCCAGTGGCATATACAAACGTATGACTGAGACAGTGTCACACTGAAGCCAGAGCACCCCGCTCCAGTCCTTTTCTGACGACTGCTTTTCTTGGTTGGTACGCAGAAGATTCCACTGCCAGTAGTAAAGTCCACCTTCCAGGCACAGTGAGTAAATATTTCAACTGATAATGTGCACGGAGCATCAGTAGTGAGGAAATACAGAAATGTTCTTTTTTACTCACAGGCCCAAACGTAGCAGTTTTGTTTCACCCAGGAAATCCAGTGCCTGCAGTCCAAGCACAGTGTTTATCTCGGGACACTAGCCATTGAGAAGAACAGCTGATTGCACCACAGATAACAAGGAACACCTTGTGTCTAGCATGGAATATGTCCCCAGAGGGATCTGCGCTTTGCCACGCAATCCATCGCAGGGCTGATGTTTGTAACGCGTCACTTGTCACGCTAAGACATTAACAGCAATGAGATGGGTCAAGACAGAGGTCAGTCATCTTCCCACCACCACCCAGCTGGATGCACTTCACTTCTGCTCTTCACATGGCTTGATCGTGTGTCACAAGGGTTTGTGAATCACAGCCACACCTGTTGGAAGAATGGACAGACAGACACAGTTATCGTAGGAGCAACTCCTGGCGTGCGATGTGGCTAAGATGACCCTCCAAAGCCAAAGGCCAGCAACGGGCTAGCAGAGAGAGAGGTGTCTACTATTTCTGTGAAAGGTTCCTTTACTGAAAGCCACATAAAACATACAAAAATATAAGATTAAAGCTTCAGGAGGCACAGCCCTTGAGTTTATGAATGACCTCAGCTGTTGCCAGCTCTCCCACTGACTGTTTACCTGCGTAACTTCTCCCCGTGCTCATGCTGGTTGGTAATAACGTCCACTTGTCCGTGATGGGGTTGTAGTATTCCACAGAGGCCAAATTACAGGAACCATCGTCTCCTCCCACCACGTAGAGGAGACCATTCACCGCACACACACCTCAAAGCAGAGCACAGATGGTTAGACACGGGCTAATTCATCCCCCACAAGACATCACCTTCCACGTTCTGATTCATTCCCAAGCAGATACTTCATCTTCCATTTTTATCACCTTCTTCCAACACTGATCACTTACACCACTGGCACATTAGTCGCATTCAAAACCACACAGACAACTGCAAACACACACCACAGAAAGACTTATCATGGTTTACCTGCATTTCTTCTACACATGTTCATGTCTGCTACTTGCTTCCAGGTGTTTGTTCCTGGATCGTAGACTTCCACACTTTTCCTTACTAAAGGACCGTCGTGCCCCCCGGTAGCGTACAGCAGCCCACTGAGAACACCAACACCTGCCAAGCAGAGCCCAGTGTTAGCCAAACATGTAGGGGAAAGGGTTGCAAGTCCCTGGACCTTCTGCTAGGTATTCCCTTGGCCTCTCCAAGGCATTTCCCAAAACATGGGCCATATTTGCCTCAAGATCACCTGGGACATGGTCAGCTCTCCACCCAACCACCACGTGGCACTACAGCAGACCTGGCCAATGTCCTGTCTTTCAGGGCTCTGCCCCTTCTCAGGTAGATCTTGGTCTGAGACATTCATCTGTCTTTATTCAATCCCTTTGGACTGGCTTGTTCTCTCTTCCCTTCACCTCCCTGGCTGCTGCATCCCACCCCACCTCATCCCTATCTGCCCGATTTTTTCTGCCATGGGGCCCTTGGTTTTAGCTTGATTCCCACTTCCAGGAACTTTATATTTGCTTTTCCTGATGCCTTTGTGCCACACGGCTTCATCTCTTGGACACTCTTCCTCTTCTCAACAACTTACTGGCTCCAGTTGTTGAGGCTGCTGCTGGGTTCCCCTCCCGTCACTCCCCTCACTCCTCTCCCAAACGCAGCAGCAGCACTTGGCACCAACAAGATGCCTCCAAAGCCACCTTCCCAGCCACTTTCGCAAGCCCCTGGCTCAATCTCTGGGAATGACAAGGATCTGAAGGGTGCTTCTGCCTAATATTAAGTAAATTAATTAAAATGTTCACCAATCCATGAGAGTTAAAACTTCCAGCAACATATCTTCGTTAATAGGTTCAAAGGCCTCTATTAAAATTAACAAGGTAGGATGTTAGTAAAACAGAAACATTGATCTGAATTGCATCATTTCAACCACGGGCATTAACCAGCAGCATGGCCCCTGTGCCCTGAAGATGGGCTCGTGCCTCACCCAAAAATGGGCCAGCACCTAACTGAGACCAACTGATGAGTTAAAGCTCCATGAGGCACACCATCATTCGGGGGACAGGAACGCTGCCGCAGGTCTACACCATCACCTCTCTCTTCTCCAGACTTTCTTAACTTGCTACTGCTGGGTTTGGCTTTGACCAGACGTCTCTCGCTGCACCATGAGACGTTGAAAGCCTAACATGACGTCTGGATTCACGGTTCATCTCTAGCAAACACTGGTAATTAATCTCCAACTGCCATAAATGTTCACCTCACTCAGCAAAATTCTCAGTCTGGTGGAGGTACTTCAATGCGCAGCATCTAGGAAGAGCAGAACACGTCCCAGTGTGCACTCTGGCCCCAGAGCTGGTGCCTCCCAGTTGACTGGGGAATGGAAACTCATTTAACTGGTAAGGAAAGCACACCGTGTCTGAGCCCAGCAGCACCTTAGCATTTGACTATATTCAGCTGTTAGCAAAAATTTTGCACTTAAAAAATAATTTGCTAATTTGAGCAAGTCAGAGAGTAAAAGAGTTGGAAACACTCCAAGGCTCCTCCATCTCAAACTGTGCAGCGAGACAGACAAGGCACACACGGATGGGACGTCCCTGCCAGGAGGGAAAAGGGATCCCCTCAGCTGGGCCAGCAAAGGCAGGTGGGCAGCACCTGCACAGCCTCACTGCCCGGACTGGGGACACCCCGGGACTTGGGGACCCTCATCCTCACCTCCGCTAGATGTCAGCACCGGGACAGCAATGCCGCAGCTCGGAGCCGTTTCATTGATGGAGCTGTAGGCTAGATCGTGCTGCAGCACCACTTGCGATGAGTGGCACTGGGCTGTCCCCTCCCCAGTGCCTGCTGGAGGGGTGTCTGGGTGACAACCAGAACTTGAGAAGCTCAGCTTTCAGGTTGGGAACAGAAAATTGCAAGGCCATTTGGGCAGGCAGGCAAGAACATTAGTAATACTGGACTTGCCGTTGGAGATGTACTCGCAACACAGTGCCCAGAGTTGAGTGTTTCAAACCAAGAAAATTCACTAAAACCCATCTCACTACAGGCACAAACTGTTTTGCTGTGTTTCAGCATGCTGTCAACAACATCAGATACTCATTCTCTTCTCCTATAAGGTTGCATTGGGCTAGGTTTAAGCATCAAGCACGTACTCAAGACCTCTTCAACTGAATTCAAACCAAGGGTGTGACCATATTTGCCTCACCTGGAGCTACAGAAAAGGCATCAAGAGTGAGGAAAAAAAGACGACGTGTCGAGCCTCCCAGCCACCCGGCTCAGAAGGAAATTCCCACCCCAGCCTAGCCCGCAGGGTTATTTCAGCCCCTACGCAAAGGGCAGCCTCTGGGCTCGGCATCCTCTGGGAACTGTGTGATTTGACATCAGGGAGGTCCCACTGCACACGCTGAGCAACAGGACCAACATTGGCACGTTCCCTTTCATCTGAAGATCATTTTAAATGCAAGAGTTTTTTTTCCCCATTCAGAGAGGAACAGCCCCAGAAAGGACAAGTCCCTACCTGGCCTAATGTCACACAGTAAGCTAGAAACCATCAAGACCATAACATAATCATTTTTTCACATATCCTTTCCTCTAATCCTCCAGAACACCACCTCTTGCCAGCAAAAGGTACACGAAAAGCCAGCTTAGCAGGGGCAATCTGAGATGAATTTTATTACCTTGACTTGGTCTGCACATCACCCAGTGCAGATGTGCTTTGTGCTGCCAAGCACCCATTGCAGAGAAAAACCAAAAGGAAAATCCACCTGGCAACCCCCAAATGATAGGAGAGAAGGAGGTGCAGCTTGGCTTTCCAGTCCCCAGCTGAGCCTGCAGCTGGCGATTTGGAAAGATAAGTCTTTGCTTACAAGTGAGATGCATCTGTTAGTGATGCTAGTTAGAAACACTGAACATTATATCATTAATCCAGAAATTAATTTCAATTTGGCAGATTTTAAAGAAGTCAGGAGAGATGCTGAGAGCTTCCAAGCAATTATGGTTTTTCCCCTCATGGGATGGGGAGGAAATAACAAGTTGCACTTGCCAGCCCAACAGTGCCAAAACACTTCTTCCTTTCCACGAGCAGAGAGCCCAGCTATCATCTGCTCGTAAGAACACATCTTGGAGCCAGTACCTGCACCACTGCGTCGAGTGCTCATGTCAGCTACGTAGGTCCATTCATTGGTGGCTGGGTTGTACTGCTCGACGGTACTAAGGCACTGACGGGATGCTCCGTCGTAACCTCCCACAGCATAGAGCTTACCTAGAAGACACACATTAACATCAACATTACAGCTATGACTGATGGATGTTACCACCACGCCTGATGGCCCCAGCTGAGGACAGATCCCAGCTGAGGGAGGCACTGGGAGATGTGCCTAAACCTGCTGGGATGTCTGGGAAAAATCCTAGCCAAAGGATCTGAAGTAGTCTCGCAGACAGGCAGGCCTGGTTTTAAAGCTGTTAAAGCTGTCAGCTCAGACAAGGCAACAACACGACACAACAGCTGAAGGGGAAGCCAAAAGCCCAGAGGGTTTTCCCAATGACTTGTTGGCCCAGGAGGAGACGTAACATCAAAGCGTGTTCTGCTGATCGAGCGTTTCCTCCCGTTCAGGTGCCACAAGGCAAGGCGGGCTGTCAAAGGTCGATACTGTACATTAACTACAATATCACATGAGCAATAAATGTGTAATAGCCTCTTGTGTTAATGTAATACCTGCATGGAAACCTAGACCTCATTTTGAAGAGCCTGGGCCAAATCCAAACCAAGCAATGCCCCCAGCACAGCTGAGGCCAGCCTGTTCACTCATGCCAAGTGATGATAACACAGAAGACACCACAGGAGACCCTCACAGCATGGTGTACCTGTCCCTCCCTACTTCAACTCAATGAAAGCTGGACAACATACGCCTAGTGAGACTGGAAAACATCGTCAGATGTCACGGAACTACACCACACACGAAACAGGGCTGATGCTCCACCATGTCCTCTGCCCACAGACCTGACTGACACCCTCTCCTTGTCTCCCCATATCATCTGTGAGCTTGGTTTGCTTTTAGACAGCAAACTCTGGGCAGAGAGGGTTTCTCTTTACTAGAGCACCTAGCACAAAGGCATTCTGGTTCAAGACTGGGCTTCCTAGACACTACAACAACCAAATATTAATAAAGTTCAACAAATATGTAGGAAAATTCTAACCAAATTTTTGTACAGACCCCATGAATAAAACGTTTTCAATCCATAACAGCAGAGCCACAAATGAGCTGGGCAATTCGTTATCACAAAGGACTCCCAACCGCTGTTACCATCTACAGCCTTAGGCTTTTCCATCCTCCTCTTTCCACGATGTTTGCAAAGCTCCAAGAACAGGCCAGCTCTTTTCCCTCTCATGGTCCTGCCTCTGACCCCTATCCTCCCTGAGCTCAGGCTGTGACCGTCAGGAGAGGTTTGCAAGGATCAGGTTTGCGACTGTGCTCCTTGTGCTTCTTCCTGCCTCCGTAAACATTTCCAACTCTTATCTGTGCTGTTGTTTCAGCCCACCTGGTGTTAGTCAGTGAATGGAGGGAAGAGTGCCAGACAGAGCAAGACAAGATCAAATCCCCTGGCTGACAGCAATTATTAGATATTTTCGGTACCCACAGGCATCAGATCAATCCTCATCACATTCAGATGAACACTGTGGATTAACTGCAGGCTGCAGCTTGTTCCCATGATGAGCTCTTCTTCCCCATCACGCACCCTCGTTCTGTTTTAACAGGGACTCCAACATGTGCAACACCTATTTGCGCTTCCAAACAAAGCAAAGGAAAAGGATTTCACATGTCTCCAATATAAAACCTGTCCATAGAAATGCATCTCTCAGGTACATACTCAATATTTGTTCTGCATTCAAATGACTGCATAAAAAAAAATCTCTTTAGCAAACCCCAGTGACCACCAGCAGCCCAGCACTCCACAAGCATGGGCCAATTTTGAAGGAGAAGCTTCTTAAATATGCAAATTTAGCACAACCAAAGCTATTTATTCTGACTTTATCTCCTTCCTTCCTCTCACATAAACACAATTTATATATTTCCCATTCAAACAGGTCAAACCAAACCACTTCAAAGCACAGTTTACAACAAGGCTCGTGCCAGTGGCTGCTCCACACCGGACTAATTGGAAACTGCTACTGCTACCTAAAGACAAGGTCAGAAAAACCTTTCACTTGCTTCAGAGTTGGCTTTCCTAAAGGAATAAAGTGCTCCTGCCTAAAACTGCTCCTTCTCCCGGATCCAAACCAAGCTGCTCAGTTCCAGCTTGCTCGAGTTTGGTGCCAACAGCGGCTGCGATCCCCCCGAGCACCCTCTCCTCCCACCCCTCCTGCCTCACTCCCAGCGTTGCTACCGTCAGCCCCTGCTCATTTAGGAACCAGAGCAAATCGTGCCGTGCGTGCCGGCAAGCCTGATGTCAATAAACACAGGTTTTAGTATTCCTGCCAAACCACCAGCTTGGGGCTGTGGGATGAACGATGCTCCTGTTTCTCTCGCTGAGCAGATTTTCTGTGATGGGCACTCCATCCACGCAGTGTCTGCTGACAGCAACAGCACACACTGATCAATACCATTTGCTTCCACCAGCCAGAAGGAGCCCAGGAAGAAGAAGGATTCAAAGAAAACCTGCACACACCTAATGGCACTCACAGGAGGCATGGGCTGCTCTGATAGGGGTCTGCGGCTCTTGGAAAGCTACACATGATTTTTCACTAAGATAAAGAGAAGAATGGAAAAAGCTGCAGCAATCATGGCATTTAAAACAAACCACTCTAGAGAACAGTTCCTGCAGTTCCCTCCTATTGCACTGAACCGTTCAGGCTTCTGTTTGACACAGTAACATTCGCTTGATGGATATGGCTGTTGATTTTCTTGCCCTCCACAACTCCAACTCCAACACTGCTTCTTCTTGTGTTCATGGGAGCCACAAAAAACCACTCATTGGTTTTATAGCTATAGGCCTCAACTGATGCCAGACCTAGTTAAAAAGGGGATACACAGGTTTTCTAATTAAAAAAAAAGAGAAGAAAAAAAGATTGGTGTTGCACTTTCATCTGCCTTCCACCTCCTCCCAAGCCCATAATTCCCCCCACACTCCTGCAACCCGATTTACCAGTCCCTTGCCTTTCAGGCTGGGACCAGCATCTCAACGCCACTTCTTCAGCAGCTGGAAAAACTGCTACCCCATCACTCCTGCCCTGGGACTGCTGCCCCTCCAATGTGCTGGGGACAGAGTCCAGATTCCAACCCCAAAATCCCATGTCCTTTCAAGGATTACAAAACATCCATGCAAAGGTTTAAAAATTCCCCCAGACCTCACTGCATCGTACTCATCACCTGCTGAAATAGTGAGTTTAGGGCTTAAGCAAGTGGCAAAGCTGTCCAGCAGAGGCAGAGGTGTGTATCTAAACATGCACTTATGCCAAGATAAATCCCAGGCACATAGCCCAGAAGATGCCTTGTTGGCATTTTATGTTGCTATACAAAATTTAACTAAAATAATGAAAAATCCCTTTTCAGTGCAGAATAAGCATATTCATACAGAGAACAAGACTGAGAGAACCGTATAACTACAAAAAAAAAAAATCAGGGTGAGATAATCTGCAACTACCGATGGGTCAGAGCGTGCATGTGATGAGTTACAACATGCAGTAAACCCAATGCTGAGCTCTTTCTCTACAAAATCATACAGGAAGGGTGCAGGAATCTCACTAAAGCTCTGCAGTCTTTGCAGGGATCTCTGAAAACGTTTTTTTCAGGTCAGGCACTGACTGGGTTTTGCTCAGTCACCTACCGGTGCTGCCATCGAAGCCACCCACAGCGTAGAGGAGATCATTGAGCACAGCTGCGCCTAAAGTGCTTCGCCTCTCCTGCATGCTGGCTATGGACGTCCACTGGTCCTTCACGCCGTCGTACACATCGACCGTCCGTACCCTTAAAGATCCGTTAAAGCCCCCGACAGCATAAACATTGCCAGCCATAAATACCACACCTGAGAAAAGAGGAGAGAGATTTTTACGGAGGTTTTACAAACAGCTCGGGAAGAGCAGAACGTCAGCAAGGCTTTGGCATTTCCTACAGGTTAAGAGCATCGGAGCCAAGTATGATAAAACATACGTGTCATACGAAAGGTGAAATGCACATAAATACATAAAGCACAGATGGATTTCACACCTGAATGAGTCATTTTCGGAGCCAGAAGGAACACCAAATGGTGATCCACATTCACAACCCGCTCAGATCTCTTCAGAGGAATGCTCCCAGCTTACAGATCTGTTCTCCATCACCCGCTCCTCAGTATCGAGAGGGCCTGACTCAGCTCCTTTGATTTTCACTGGGAAATCAGCAAGGAAAACTGGATCCCTGCGGGCTGCCAGGCCAGCAGGATGGGAGGAGGAGGAGAAGGGAGAGAGGTGATGGAGGAGCAGCCGGGAGAGAAGTGATAAAGGGGAGACAATGGCTATGGATGGCAGAGAGGCAGGAGAGCAGGGCATCCACCTGGATGAGATGGATACACGTGT